ACCTTGTAAGAAAAGGCTCCCCCGTCCCCAACATCAATTTTCCTCACTTAGAGAATTACAGGTTGAGCATCCCAAACTTGAAAATCTGAAATCCAAAATACTCCAAAATCTGAAACTTTTTGAGCACCGACATGAGGCTCAAAGGAAATGCAATTTCAGATTTGGGATTTTCAACTGGTAAATATATAAATGTAAATATTCTAAAATCCAAAACCCAAAACACTTTTGGTCCTGAGCATTTCAGATAAGGGATACTCAGCCTGTATTTCTAACCTAGGCTTAAGAAACTATGGAAACATCATTCAAGAACATGAGATTATAGCTGCTAATCTGGTTTTCTATTTTCATTACTGAATTTAAGCAAGAAAAAAGCTTTCCAGCTTTTATCTCTCATTTAGGTAATTAACTTTGCCATGGAATGTTTAAGATCTTAATCCCACACAAGACTGTCATTCATTCATTCACTGGAGAGATACTGTTTGCTTGCCTAGTATATGTCAGGTATTTTTCTACACTAGAAAACAGGTGATGACTGGCCCATATGAGCTTACATTCTAGTAGTAGCACTGGGAAGGCAAATTAATTATATAGTACGTCAGAATGTGGTAAGTATAATAGAGACAAATAAAGAAATATTAATACCATACCAGAGAGAAAAATAAGTGTAATGGGGCTATGAATGCCAGGCGTAGGATAGAGAGAGGCGGCTTACTTTTTACCTAGGGCAGTCAGGGAAGGCTTCGCTGATGGAATAAAGAAGTTTGAGGAGAGGCAAAGGAAATAAGGGTGTTAGACATGAGGACGTCTGGAAGAAAAGCATTCCAGACAAAAGGAATGACAATGAAGAGACGTGGAGACGGGAGCCAGCTCTGAGAAATGGAGGACCGTCTGGCTAGGGTGCAACGTATTTATGGGGACAAGGCAAGCAGAGGGGGTGGGTAGGTGACTGTGCCGGGCTCTGAAAGAGCTGGGCTAGGAAATTAAACTATGCTAGCTTTTACAATGGGACAAAACATTCAAAATTTACTGCGGTGTAAATAAAATGTGATACTGTAATTTGATCTAGGATCATTCTTCATCTCGTAACAATAACCTTATTTCATTATGTTCTGAAAAAGAGAACATAGAAGTTCCTCCTTCAGTGATGCCAAGTGGAACAGAGATACGCTGTCCCTGCCCAAATTGCAGATTTGTAATCAAAATAAATGTGTCTTATTTTTAGTCAGTAAGTTTCTAACCACCTTTTCAGGAACATAAAGAAATGAAGGCATGTAAATTTTTTTCTTTTCCTGTGTATATATGTGTGTATTTATTAAGACTATTCAAGAATGTAAAAGAATGAAACATTTATCTCTAAAACATGTTAATAAAATCTTAAATTCTGGGACAAGAGATTTCAGTGACACAAACAGTTGCTAATATATACCGAACTCCCTCTTTGTCTTCCTTCTATTCTTCTCGGCACAGCAGCCAAAAGGATCTAGTTCAAACGTTATATCCAGTTAAAACACATTCTATCACTCTTCCCCTTAAAAACAATCCCAAAACTCCCTAAATCAGAGAGAAAGTCACTGTCCGCACAAAGGCCTGCGAAGCCCTATACAATCTGAACCCCTCTCTAGTTATTTATTGCCTGGTAACAAACCACCCAAAACTTAGTTACTAAAAATAAGACACATTTATTTTGACCATGATTCTGCAATCTGAGCAGGGAAAGCTTATCTCTGCTCCACCTGGAGTCGCTGGGGACATTGTGAACGCTGGGACCTGGAATCACCTGCAGGTCGATGTCCAGCGATTGATGCTGGCTGTTGGTGGGACCTCTGCTCTCGCTGTGTCCACAACGCCTCCGTGTGGCCTTTCCACGTGGCCACCTGGGTTCCGCACAGCTTGGTGGCTCACTTCCAAGAAGGAGCCCCTCAGAAGGAGCTGGGCGGGAGCTGTATCACCTTTTCTAATCTAACCTGACCTTAGATGTCTTGCAGCATCGGTTCTGCCACATTCCATTTGATAGAAATCAGTCATTAAGGCCAGCCCATATTCAAGGAACTAGACTTTGGACGAGGAAGAGTGCAAGAGAACCTGCAGACGTGTTCCAAAGCCCACCTCAACTGCTCTCACTCCCGCCGCCCTTTCTCTCTTGCTCACACAGCTTCTGCCGCCCGGATTTCCGCCACCTCCAGGCCTTTGCAGTGGCTGTTTCTCCGTCCGCCAGGAAGGCTCTCCCAACACCTGGCCTTACAGCTCGCTTTATCACCTTTTCCAGGTCTTGAGTCAAACGAGGCTTTCTCAGTGGGGCTTTCCTGGCCCTATGCTCTTTCCCTGCTGTATTGTTCCACTGTTACAATTAGCATCATCTAACATACTCTATATTTTGCTTACTTTTTGTTCCCTCTCTCATAAGAACATAAGCTACATCAGAACAAGGATTTTTATCAGTTTTGTTCACTGCTGTATGCTCAGTAACTACAGGAGGACCCAGAACTCGATAGAAGCTCAAAAACATCTGCTAAAACGAATAAAAAATTATTTCAAAATAATGAAAAATATAGCATTCCTAACCATTTTATATTACTTAAAATATTAAATTTTAACTATACTATATAAAAGTGGACAATGAAAACATAAACTGAATAAGCCACAGAATTCATCTTCAAAACTATAAATTGCTCAACAGTGAACTTTAGTTACAAACAAATTGACTGAATAGGTCAACTATCAAAATTAAATTTTTGGAGAAACAATTGATAGTAATTTTTCAGAACTATTAAAAGGTTACCTTCAATGCACAAAATATGCAGGCATCTCCCTGGCAAACATGCCCAGTCAGAATCCGCAAGCTTCGTCGGAATATATCTAATTGCCATAAAACCTAAAAAGCAATGAGATGGGAAGGAAAAAGAAACACAGTGAGATTTTTCTTGCTGTGAAAAGAGACAGATTTAGATATTTTAAAAATTATAAAAGGTTAATAAGTAACTTCTTTACTCTCCTGTACATAACCAGACATATACAACTACTAGAAATAACAGCAAGTATAACACCACCACATACATGCTACTCACATATAAAAGATGGATTTAGAAGATACTGTTTCACATGAAAAACCCTGACAGGCGTAGACTAGGGCAAAACTGACTCCTCAGTTAAGGATTTGATATGAACAGGAAACATGGGATACTAAATAGAGGATTTGGCTGAGACATGAAAGAGGAAGTGACTATAATACTCGGAACAAACCAAAATCTAGAAAACAAATATCATTAGACTTTAAAGCCAGAGTGTACTAAACAGGGGTCAGTGAGTTGGGGCAAGAAAAAAGGGTAAGCAGAGGTGTGTGTGATCACAGCATACCGAAAAAGAAAGACTGTCTGTGTGGTAATGAAGCAGCCGTTAAGAAATAACCTGAATATATTTGCTGCAATTATCTATTCATCATCTGCTACTAAAAGACAAAAGGCAAAACAAACAAAAAAGACTGTAACTGTTGAAATAAATCAGCCCAGTACTCAAGATCATTCTGAAAAACCTGCATTCTGTACAATGGGGATAATAACAGTGCCTGTCTCGCAGAGTCCCTATGAGGATTAAATAATAGGTGACAACATGTAATGTGTGTAGAGCTGGGCTGGTACTCAGCTGTCATGCAGTGAATACCAGCAGCTATCTGTGGCTCTTATTACGAGTACAATAAACAAGACCTTCAAATTTCCCTAATCTTTTAGTCATGTCCTCAAATGATGTAACTAAGAAAATCCATTCAGGATCTCTCCTTTCTCCCAGCTAAAA